TCTGAGCTGAACACTGTCGTGTCCCCAGTAAAGATGTCAATGGTAGAAAATACATTATTCTGTTAAACATCGGTCAAAAAATGGAGCTGCATGTTTACAAGAGAGACGTCAGAAGCGAGCACTGGGGATAGGAACTGGCTGCACGCACAGAGCGAACAACGTGTGGCAGAGGGAACGCAGGAGAGGACCCGTGACTCTCTGCTCGGCAGTGCAATGCCAGCCCCTCCAAGCAGGCCCAAGGCAGGCCCCACGAAGGCAGCAGGTGTCTGCAACAGGTGCCAGCAACCCCAGCTTTCTCTGCCACACACCAGAAGGATCCGCAAAGCCACAGTGCAGCCCGGCTCCCGTGCCACATATCTCCAACCGTGAGAAGTGCCATTCAAGCCTCCATCCTGACGCATCGAAAAAGCGCGCTGCAAAAGCAATGCATGAAATTTTACCAAATCTCCATACACCTTCAACTCTCCTATGAAATATGAACTTTCATTTCTACCCAGCACTTTCACTTGTACTTTTCTGCTATGCCTGAAGGGTGCTTGTGCCCAAAAAGCTTGCAAATAAAGAATTTTTTTTTCTGCAAACAAAGTTGGTCTAATAAAAGACCAGCTCTACCAAAGACCAACTCTAACAAAACTCTACCACGAGCTCCAATTCCTTGCGACTCTAGATCAATATGGCTACAACCTGGATACCCTGCAAAAGCAATTTTACTTACTAATGCATCATGTACTACTGCTAAGCAGCGGTGACAGACACCACTAAAACCCCCTCCCCCCCCCCAGTAAAATCTAACGAGCTGCATCTCGCTTCGCAGTGCCACTGGTTTCCCAATTGTGGAACCCAAGGTAAAAAGCAAACTCCAGGAGAGAACAGGTTGGCAGCTTAACAATACATTTAAAATACGCAGCGGCCCCCCCTGGACACAGGGCCAACAAAAAGGACAAACCATAATGCCAAGAGACAGCAAACGCCATGGGATGCCGCGCGTGCAGCCTGCTCCGGTAGAGGAGAAATCGATAGGAAGAGAGGTGGGGGGGGGGGGGGCCCTTTTTCCCGAATTTTCCCCATTTAAAACTTTCTTTTCTCGTTTCCCACCCCCCTTTTT